GTCTCCCCCATATCCGCAAGAGTCGTTAGGCGAGTATTGATACGCTGCATACAGCCCCACACAAACAAACGCATGCGTGCATGCAAGTGCATGCAAATGCATGCATAAGAAGAGGAGCAGACAGGGTAGACAGCCCCACCTCTTAAGCACTGTTTAAATCCTAAAAAATATAAATAGAGGGGCTCGACGCCTCAGCTGTTTTATTTTGCTTTCTAATTGCAGCGACGACAAAATCATATGAGGTTTTTGGGGCGTGGAGGGAGCGGTAAGCTTTTACTGCTGCTATCCCCATGCTGCAGCAGCAGCAGCAGCAGCAGCTGCTGCAGCTGTAGATGTCTTGCTGCAGGAAGAAAAAGAGCAGGGAGCTGCGGTTTGAGCAGCAGCTCGCTCACGACCAATTCCCGCAGCAGCAGCAACAGCAGCAGGAGGATCAGGATCATCTGCCGTTGCAGCTGCTGCTGCAACAGCAGCAGCTCCTGTCCCCGCCGCCGCCTCCGCCACCACCGCAGCAGCAGCAGCAGCAGCAGCAGCAGCAGGAGGAGGAGTTTCAAGCTATCCAAGTGAAGTGATCTGCTAGTGTAAAGAATAAACTCCGCTGCTGTGCATGCGAGTCCTTTCCCCCCCAAAGAAATTCCATTTGCAGCCAGAGACGGTGCCGCACCTCACACCCCAGCGCCGCCAGATACTCAACGCGACGAAACGTTGCGCTGCCGTTGTGTCTCTCTACTGTCTTCTTCAGACTCTGCAGCAGCTGAATACATGCAGCAGCAGCAGCAGCACCAACAGCAGCAGCAGCAGCAGCGGCAGCAGAAGCAGCAGCGGCAGCGGAAGAAGAAAGGAGCAGCAGCAGTAGAAGCAGCAGAAACAGACGCAGAAGCAGAAAGATTTATACATACAGTTGTTATTATATTTTTATATTTATATATTTATACATACAGTTGAGATAGTTTGCATGGTGTATATACAGCAGATATATATGTAGGGTGTATATACAGAAAAAAAAAGAAAGAAAAAATGTTGTTTTGTTTTTATATTTCTGTTGCTTTCTCTTTATTTTTATTTTTAAACAAAAAAGATAAACTGCTGCATCGATGCATGCAGAGAAAGCCCCAAACAAAAAACAACAAAAAACAATAAAAACTGAAATAAACAATAGAAACAAATTTATTTATTATTATATAAATAAATAAAAACAAAAAAAACAAAATAAACAACAACAAAGAAACGAAACAAACAACAAAAGGCATTCGTCGCCATACAAGTCCTACAGATACAGCATAAACAAAACAAAAAAACAACAAACAAATACATAAATATTAATAAAACAAACAACAAACAAATAAATAAATAATAAATAAAATAAATAAAATTATAAATTAATAAATAATAAAGACAGAGAAAACAAGAATTCATAGACACCTGTAAATACACTCCACGCCCAAACCATACAGCATAAAAAATAAATAAATATACAATTAACTAAATAAATTAAATAATAAATAATTATATGTTCTTTTTGTTTTTTGTTTTATTATTTTTATCAATAAATACAAACAAAAAAACAACACATACAACCTAAGTAGAAGCAAGCAAACAAAAAAGAAAAACAAAGACAGATTGAGGACAGCAACTGCGTGGCTAGATAGAGACAAACAAACAAACCAAAAAATAAAAAATAAAAAAAAAGAAACAAAGACAGACCGAGAAGAGCAGCTGCGTGGCAAGATAAAGACAAACAAACCCAAAAAAAAAAAAAAAAAAAAAAAAAAAAAAAAAAAAAAAAAA